TTTTTAAGACCACCAAACACTGTGTCTTATTATTTCTTCTTTTTTAAAAAAAACAGTTGAGGCTGTTTAAGGAACTATAGCCACAAAGGCACACTTGACTCAGGCTTTTAAAATTTCGAATAATCGATGAAAGTTTATTGATAAAAACACAAGAAAGTAAGTGCTGTTTAATATCTTGGTTGTTACAGAGAAATTTTGGCTTTTGTCTTGAAATGCGTAATGGTTACATATAATGGTTCTGTCTTTGTTACAATACAGAGATTTTCTTCTCTTCCTTAACAAGCAAACCTAACAGGAACTGAATCTCTGTCAGGATTAATTCTGTAGCTTAGCTACCCTAAACTATGGTCTAACTAACTACAATCCAGCTATGTTTCCCCTCATAGCTGTTCCAGTTTGCTTCAGCTGACTTTGCTGGCAAACCTATGACAAACTGCCTTCTCCTAAACTATCTCAAGCACAAACTTCTAAAACACCCTTTCTCTCCCTACTCTAATCTCCAACTCCCTCTCTTTCTCACTGAAAAGGCTCTTTTCCCCTCCAAGTCTCTCTAAACTCCGCCCCTTTTCCTAAACCAATCCTGGCCGTTCTCATGCTGACTCGGGCCTAAGACACTCCCCCTCTCTAAAATGGTGCCTTCCCTGATTTAAAATGGCTACTGCTGCTTTTGCCAGGCCCACCTAAGCTGCAAACTAGCTGGCAGACTTCTCCTAGGCCCTGCCATCCAGGCTGAAAAAGGTAAGGGATCTTTACATGCACATCCTCATACCAAAGACTCTCCTGAAGACTGTTAATTGGTGAGTGTAATAAAGCTGTCCCGGCACACTTCCTTAAAGTAAATAAAGTAAAGCTTTATTTAGATCTATATACAGCAGAGTTACATTGCAGTGTCTGCATCTGCTTCTGTGCCAAGAATAGTATTTGCCAAACCTTCTCTGGCCAAAAGATTTTCCATATACATATACTATTGTGAACAGTTGTTGTCAAACAGTCTTTCCACAACGCTCAGTGAATTTATGCTGGCCATCTCTGCTCACTGCTATCCTCAGCCACTCTCTCTCGGCTCACTGGAGATGCAGCCTCAACTCCCGTCCTCCAGGAAACTTCTGCACAATTCTGTGACCCTCGGCAGCCCAAGATTAAGCCCAAGCCAAGCAACACCCACTGCCCCCAGTGGCACAGTGGATTAAAGTGCTGAGCCGCTGAGCTTGTTGACCGAAAGGTCGCAGGTTCAATTCTAGGGAGTGGCGTGAGCTTCCGCTGTCAGCCCTAGCTTCTGCTATGCAAATGTGAGTAGATTAATAGGTACTGTTCCGGCAGGAAGGTAACGGCGCTCCATGCAGTCATGCCAGCCACATGACCTTGGAGGGTCTATGGACAACACCGGCTCTTCGGCTTAGAAATTGAGATGAGCACCACAGCCCAGAGTCAGACATGACTGGACTTAATGTCAGGGGACTACCTTTACCTTTTCTTAAGCTACACTTACAGGCTTTCCGGCAGTCACTCCTCAGCATTCCTGGAATTCTGGTCTGCGGTCTGCCCATCTGTCACCTCGGCAACTCTCATGCCATAAATCACCTTCAATCCTCGTGTAGCAAAAGAGTGCTGGGCCCATAACCATTGTTAATTGGTGAGTGTAATAAAGCTGTCCCGACACACTTCCTTAAAGTAATCAATCAGCTTTATTTACATCTATATACAGCAGAGTTACATTACAGCTTCTGGCTCCGGCAAAACAGCATTCAAGAAGAAAAATGCTTAGCTTTCTCACTCTATCAGCAATAGATACACCTCCTTCACATTCCATTGAAGCATCCGGCCTCACATACAGGAAGCAGGAAATTAACACACATATACCTTTCTAGGATACATACAAAAGTCTGGTTTGTTAACTCTAGACAGTAGTACATATACACATGCTTACAGCTTTAAAAACACACTTTGAAAATCTACTATATAAACCAAAACACAGTACCAACAAATACTTGATCAGTTTTTTTTTGCATATTGAATCTTGATGCCCTCAGGTGTTGCATTTACAAATGGTCATGCCTGGAAGCAACAGAGACGGCTTGTCCAAATGACTTTGGCAAAATTGGGAGTTGGGAAAAGGACCATGGAAGACAAAATAGAAGATGAAACCCAGCAGCTTGTAGAGATTTTTGCAAGTCAAAAAGGTTTGTAACATGAGGAGATGATGCTGGCATGTGTCTTGTTGTGTTTGCAACATACTTTTCCTACGTTTTGGAAAGGATCAGGGCTGTTTCTGTTGTAGCTGACACAGTTAATTGAGGGGCTAATTGAGTGCACTGTTATCTCATGTATAAAGTAAGCCACTGTGTGTTTGTACTTTGAGCATTGTGTTCTAAGCTTTGCTTGAGGGCTCATTCTGAGCTGAAAAGCCTTTGTTTGGTGCCAGCAGCCGTTCTGCAAGCATCCTGAAGATAAAGATAGTTGAGGACAAGACAAGATCTCTCTATGGACAACTGAGTAAGAGAGACTGTATATTGTTTTTGTTACAAGTCTGCATATTGCCGTTGAATGAAGAGAATTCACCGAAGATAGAGCAATTCTTCTGTCTTGTTTTTGTATGCTGTGAATACAACTTCTTTTCTTTTCTACTTAAAGCGAAAGACTCATGAGCTTTTTTATGAGTTACTTTATCACACTTAGAGTTACAAGGGCTAGAGCCATTCTGCGGGATACTTAACGCTAAACGCTGACATGTCTCTGCTGGCAGAAACCAATATCTCTCTTTGTTGTGTAATTTATCATATTTCATTGATTTTTTATAAAAAAAAATAAGTGGTTAGTAAATTCCAATAGTTTGCAGTAGTTGAACTGATATTAATTAGACTTCATTTGTAGGGAAACCATTTGATCCAGCACTGTTCATCACCAATTCAGTCTCCAACGTGACATTTTCCCTGATTTTTGGATACCGGTGGTCTATTGAAGACCCAAACTTCGAGAAACTGATTAAATCCATTCATTATACCATGAGTTTTGGACTAACTATCTCTTACATAGTAAGTAACTCCCCCCCCCCCCTCGATTTCATTCAATTGAATAGATCTTCCTTTTCAGTAATGGTTTGACTGTTGGACCTCGTCAAAGGGAGGCCAGAAGAAAGCTTGAAGAGGTAAACCCTCACAAATTAAACTAGGAAAGTAAATATTTGACTATTTCATTCTCAAGTGTGAGGATAAATGCTTCCAAGGAACAGTGCTTACATTCCTATGAGCATTTGGCACCAATGCACATCTGGTACTCTCACCAGTATCCTGTTATGCATCTTCACAACTGAGTAAAGGATTTTTGTAGTGCCTCTCCTTTATGACTTGGTGTATCTAAAGTTATATAGCATAACAGATCAAGTAAGATCCCAAAATATTTCTGAGAATAATTCTGTACAGCAGTGGTTCTCAACCCTATCTAATGCCACAAACCCTTGTTGTGGTGACTGCCAACCATAAAATTATTCTTGTTGCTACTTCATAACTTCAATTTCGAATTGTAATGTAAATATCTGATATGTACTTTGGATTTTCATTCATTGGACCAAATTTGGCACAAATGTCTGATATGCCCAAATTTGAATATTGGTGGTGTTGGGGAGGGGAGGGGGATTGATTATGTCATTTGGGAGTTGTAGTTGTTGGGATTTATAGTTAACCTACAATGAAAGAGCATTCTGAACTCCACCAGTATTCACTGAATCAAACTTGGCATACAGAACTCCCATGACCAACGGAAAATACTGGAAGGGTTTGGTGGGCATTTACCTTGAGTTTGGGAATTGTAGTTCACCTACATCCAGAGAGCACTGTGGACTCAAACAATGATGGATCTGGACCAAAGTTGGCACACAGACCCAACATGGCCAACTGTGAATACTGATGGGATTTGTGTGGGATTGACCAAGATTTTGGGAGTTGTCGTTCGCCCACATTCTTGTGCATTTTTCTAATGGGAGCATTAATAAAAAAAAGAGGAAAGATTGACTTTTTTCTAATAAATAGTGTTACAAATTACCTAAGCGGCTTCTGCTGCTTCTCCTGATGCTACTAGGCCACTCTCAGTCCCATGTCATGTGGGCGCTTTCCCCCTGCTTTGAAGGGACTCACTAGCATGAGCCTCCCTCCAGCCTTGTGTGCTCTCCCTCAACGCGCATCCGCACCACACTGCTATGCACAGAGCACAGCTGCTCTCCCCTCATCGCTTGTAGCCTCAGAAACAACTCTCCCCTTGGCTGAGAGGCCGGCTGAAAGGTTGGCCAATCACAGCAGGAGGAGGGCTTTTGTTGGGAGGATTCGCCATCTATTTCCAAAAAGGAAGAGAAGCACAGGCGGAGAGATCTTCAGTCTTCTTTGCCAAAGGGGTTCCTAAGACCATCAGAGATATGTGTTTTCTGATGGTCTTTGGCGACCCCTCTGAAACTCTCTCGCAACCCCCCAGGGGTCCTGACCCCCAAGTTGAGAAACACTGCTGCACAGAAATACACACATGGTTTCTATGTGTGTGAGTGTAAAATCTGTGCATTTGTGCAAGGGCAGTTGCTGTGAAGAGAGAAGGTTTCTATTCAGTCTAGAGCAGGCATGGGTAAACTTTGGCCATCCAGGTGTTTTGGACTTCAGATCCCACAATTCCAAAACACCTGGAGGGCTGAAGTTAGCCCATGCCTGCTCTAGAGCATCCTAGTTATAGAGAGAAATGTTGCAATCATCTGGCAGAAATGTTAGCCAAGAAAACCAAACACTCATTTCTCTGCAAGGATTTTTCTGAATAGATGCTGTGGGTACTCATATCTGCTCTTGAAAGGTTGTATATCACTTTCAGCATGTGCTTTGCCCCATCCTCCTGCTCTCAAATGTTTAAAGAGATTAAGAAACCATCCAGAATAAATGAAAAACACACAAAAAAAGAAAAATAATGATAATTAAAACTCCCAGGGAAATACACAAATGAAAGAGTTTACAGCATCATCTGGTAAATGATGGAAGAAGGAGGCAGGTATCCTCCTCCTCCTCACCTCCATTCTTTTTTTTACAGTCAGGAAATTTAGCTATCTCAAAATAATTTGTGTGTGTCAAACCTGCTTTGGCCAATGAACTGTCTTTCCTTGCCTCCTCCAGAATAATGGCAGGCTTTTTGCTTTCATCTGTTGTAGCTGTATGAATTGTTCCCATCGCTCATGGACCGCCTTCCAGGGCCTCATAAGAAGGCATTGGAGAGCACAGAGATGCTGCTTTCACTATCAAAGGAAGAAATACGGAAACATAGGGAGCAAGAACCCACACAGGAGCCACGGGATTTCATTGATTATTACCTGCGTGAAATGGAGAAAGTAAGTACTGGATCGGCTTTCTATTCATCTTTAAATGGGGTTATTATACTTGAACAGGTGATATCCAACTTCAAGACGTGCACACATATACAAGAGGAAAGGCAGCATTGAGGAGTGGCTTTCTGATCAGTCAGAAATTCTACTTCACATTATATATTTTCAGGAGAAGAATAAGAATGATCCTACCTCTGCCTTGGATGAAGAGAACCTGATTCACTCCATTCACGACATATATTTTGCTGGATTGGAAACTATCAGTACACCTATGAAATGGGCACTCCTCATTTTGGCAAACCATCCAGATGTCCAAGGTAAAAATGGTCATTGTGCAACACAAACAAGGGGCTACTACCGATTTCAGTTGTGCCCACTAGGCCTGGGTAACAACGGAAAAATTTGTTTCTAAAATCGATTTGTATTTGGGGGGTTTTTTTGTTTCGATATTTAAAATAATTACAAAATTTTCCTTTTAAAAAGTTCGATATTTACGAAATTTCGTAAATGGTAAAAAATTAACGAAATCGATTTCCGAAACAATAACGAATCGATTCGTTAATGGCGGACGCGACCGCGAAATACGCTAAAAAACCTCCAAAACCTTCTGAAGCTTCCCTCTCCCTCTGTTGTTGACTGTTGGTGTGATATTATAAATTTTTTTCACTAATTAAACCATAAAACTGGCCCAGACATGCGGAAATAATAACGAAACGACCTCAAAACAATAACGAAACGAATACAATATCGAAATACGAAGCATTTACAAAACGTTTTTGAAAATTCGTTTTTTTAATAATTGCTCCAGAATGGTTCGTTATCGTTTTGTAATTGAAAAAATTAACGAATTATTAATGAATTACGAATTAACGAAAGGAAACCGCCCAGCCCTAGTGCCCACAGTATTTTAAATAGAAATGTTGTAACTATCATTACAGAATATGTTCTAAATGAAGGAGAAAGACAATTTGTGATTAGTTGAACAAATAAAAGAAATTGTGGACAAACAAAGAAGGAATGGCTGATGAATGAATAAAAAATAACATTTGATAGCAAAGGTTTACTGAAATTAGGTTAAGAGAACTTTCTGCAGAAAGTATGTGGATAATGGCAAAAAGTAAGAATTTGCCTCAAAGTTGGGAAAAGTTACCAAAAAGGAATGCAGGTGATATCAAAGGTGAAAAATGGATATGTTTATCCCTGCGGGTAAAGAAAAAAAGATATGTATGTTAACATATCAGGAGCAATTAGCACAAAAGTATCTACAAAGTTTGACACAACCCTTTTGTATCAGGTTATGGTAGCTAGCTGCACACACAGGGCCTTTTTTATATCGCTGTCATGGGGTCCATACAACCCTTCTATGGGAAGGGATACATGAAATGTCCCCATTTGCATGACCTGTCAAACATATCCAGAGCATATTCAGCAGGGGAAAAGGACTTTATTGAAGCCCAAAAAGTCTTCTGTCAAGTAAGAGTACTGTTACACATGTCTCAGTAAATCTCTCAAGGATATCCCAATTGATTTCTGCAAAAGCAATACAATCTAAATGGAAATGGTTGCAGCAAACTGGCTTTGGACCAAGTCTCAGTAGGCATGAGTAGGTTCACCGCTGTCATTCTAGGGCAGAGCTTTCCAAACGTTTCATATTTGATACAAATAAGCATATGGTTCATATAATCTTTACTGTATAAATGAAATTTGGACATTCTCCTTGCACACTTCTTATGTACTACAGTTGATTCTTATGTAGCGTCCACTATAGCTGCTCCGTGTAGTCTTGTGGTTTTGTTTAGAATGCCTTCCTTCCTGTCTGAAGGGGGTTACATTGGGTGCCCCTTGAGGGTCTCTCTCAACTCTGTGCTTCCCTTCCTACCGCACTGCCCAGTCCCAATGGATTGAAGGGAGCATGTCCTGGGGAACTGCCAGGGACTCTTCCCTGTTCCCTTTCCTCTCAGCACTCTGCACTTCATGAAACGTTTTCAGCTTTAGGACATGGTTTTTTAAAAGTTCTCATTAGTCAAAGAGATGTATAAAAGTGAACTCTTTTGAGGAAAAGTAGAACATAAATATAACAAATTCATTGTAATCGACTCATGGGTATAATAATAAAAAATCTATCAGTAGTTATTCATTTTTTGAATATTTGAAATAAAGCTTTCATCCATTTCCATACATTTCCTCAGATAAAATCTTCAAGGAGATTGAAGATGTTGTGGGCTCCTCTAATATCTGCTATGATGACCACAAAAGACTGCCTTATACTCATGCAGTGATTCATGAAGTCCAGCGTTACAGATATCCCATGCTGGTAGGAGTTGCAAGGCAAACTACCAGAGATGTCCACATGAGAGGTTACATCATCCCAAAGGTACAGCTGGAAGTTTTAGCTGCATTCTGTATCCCAAGAACAAAGATGTTTGAAGGATGTCATTTTGAGAGATGTATCCACACAGACAGAGCTAGCACAGGATAATAGTGTTGGAATGTGATTCTGGAGACCAGGATTCAAATCACCAATTGACCATGGAAATCCATTGGGTGACTTTGGCAAGTTTCATGCAGAAGAAGAAAAGGCAAATCTCCTCTAAACAAATCTTTCCAGAAAGACTCAATGACTGATGTGAGCCTTCAAGTTGTTTCCCAATTATGGGGACCCTAAGGTGAACACATCAAGGGGTTTTTCCTGCTCGGATTTGTTCAGAGGAAGCTTGTATTTGACATTTTATGTGGTTTCAAGTTTGGCTATCATAGCATATCTGCCTTGCCATGTGAAAGCTCAGTTCATTTTGTTTCTTTCCCATGATTCATGTCGCAATATCTAAGACATCTAAGTGATACTTGCTTCCTCATTAAATCCTCTGGATTTATCTACATGTTAACTTGTCATCCAATAATTGGTCGAATGGTTCTATTCTTGTTACAACTAATCCAGAAGAATTTTGTCCATGTTTTGGACATTCTTGGATGGTTCATAACTATTTGTCCATACCTTGTTCCGGGGAACTCCCTGTATCAAGGCTAAGGTCTTTTTAAACCAAGGCAAGGTATGCCAAGACTATATTATAAAGAAAACTAAAGTCTTTCAAGGTTTGCCCAAAATATCAGAATTGCAGTACACAGCTGAAGTAACAATAAACACAAGTCAAGGTCAAGAGTCCAAGTAATGCAGACAAGCCGAGTACTATAGAAGCAGGTTAGGTGCAAGAACAAACGATAGCCAAGGTTACAGTCCAATAGTTAGAAGCCAGGACATCACCTATCAGAATTCATAAAGCAAGACTAAAAGTCAAGAGTACAAACCGAAGTGAGAGTTCTGAAGTCATTCCAGATAGTCAGGGATACAAATTGTAGTCCAAGTCCACAAATCAAACCAGGAAGTCAAAATTCAGAGTTAAGGATTCAGGCCTGGATCAGGATTACGGGAGCCAAGGTCAGAGTTCATTATTCTACCCAGGGGCAGTAGAGTCAAGATCCAGGACTAGGGTACAAAAGGTGCATCATTATCTGCTGCACAATTACCTATGGGGAGGGAAAGCCGCAAAAGAAAAGAATTTTTCTAACCACCCCATCAGGGCGGCGCTAATAAGGACATGGAACAAATACAAGGGGAGATGGTATGTGAAAACACCAACATGGATCTCCCCGAATGAGGCAGACCAAAGGAGGGAAACAGCAAAAGCCAAATGGTTAAGATACAAACAGCTCCTGAAGACAACGAACCAGGAGATAAAATTAAAAACGCTAGAGGAAATAAGACGAATAGAACCGGACTTCACCTGGTTCCAATATTGGCAGGTAAATGAGAAATTTAAGGAAGATAAAAAAATAGGATTTGAAATGAAAGAGAAGGTATGGGATAAAATGCTAAATAAAGAGAGAAAAGTGATCAAAGGATTATACCAGCAATTACTATCATGGGCATCGGAAGAAGAACAAGTGAAGGAGGTTATGGTTAAATGGGCTAGGATGATAGGACACACAATAACAATGTCGGAATGGGAGGGAATCTGGAGAAAAAAACTAAAATACACATACGCCTCAGAGATAAAAGAAAACTGGGTCAAAATGTTTTATCTATGGTATCAGACACCAGAAAAAATAGCGAAGTATAGTAAAGGAAGATCTGACAGAAAGTGTTGGCGATGTGAAGAGAAACTGGGAACTTTTTGACACATGTGGTGGGACTGTAAGATCATTAGAAAATTTTGGAAGGAGGTACACCACAAAATAAAAGAAATACTACAAATCAACTTGGAATTTAAACCGGAACACTTTCTCCTGGGATTGAATGACCCAACCATGAATAAAAACGACGAAAAAATTATGTTCTACCTCACCACGGCAGCGCGAATAAGTGTGGCCCGCCTATGGAAGAACAAAGAAACAGCAGACTTCAGTCAGTGGATGAGTAAATCCATGGATATTATGAACATGGACTTACTAACTCAGAAATTAAGGAAAAATGAACAGACAAGAGAAAACACTGACTGGAACAAATTCATAACCTTTCTAAAGAAGTATAACAAGAAACGAGAATAGAACACGAAAGAAGGAGAAAACCCAGAGAACAGTAACCAAACAAAAGAGTACCCGACTAACATAGACCTAAGATAACTACAAAAGATACAAGGAATGGCACGCTTAAATACCCTGGAAGTCAAGAGATGTACATAGCTGTTATATATGTTTGTAAGTTTCTCATGTGTCTTTATGTTTGTTTGTTAAGGATGTACCACAATAGAGTAGAGGGGGGGGGAGGGGCCGGGAGGGGGGAAGGGATAACAAACATCTGCCCCCTACAATAAGGTAAACTAAGAGACTATAGAAGAAAGAAAACAACCAGACTAAGTGATAGAGGGGAGCAAGAACGAAAGATGTGCAAACTCCAGTTTGTACAATAAGAGGGTACTTTTTATATGTTATATGTTACACTGTTACACTGTATATGTTTGTGTGTCATTATGTGGGAGCAGTATTGCTCCATAATTTTATTTATTTATTTATTTATTTATTTATTTATTTAATACACTTGTATACCGCTAATATCTCAGCCTGGATCGGCGACTCATTGCGGTTTACAGCAATTAAAAACAATCTCCAATTTAAAAACATATACATATATAAAAACATATACAGTATATTCTGGCGTATAAGACTACTTTTTAACCCAAGAAAATCTTCTCAAAACTCAGGGGTCATCTTATACGCGGGTGTAGTCTTATGCATGGGAGTCGTCTTAACTCTATATTTTAACTGGAAAAATTGGGGGTCGTCTTATACGCCCAGTCGTCTTATATGCCGGAATATACGGTATATTTTAAATTATAAACTAATAAAAATTATTTTTTTAAAAAAAGATCCAGGACTAGGGTACAAAAGGTGCATCATTATCTGCTGCCAAAGAGCTATTCTTTTCCAGACACCATTAGATCTCAAGAGATCTCAGCTACTGCTCATTTCAGCAAGCCTGTACAGATAATCACAGAAATCTGTGATGTTTTCCTTAAGGAAGAGGTCAGATTAACCCCTTCCAAGATTGCTCCAAATACTGGAAGAGTCAATCTCTGCTAGAGCCCTCCACAACTTTTGATGTTTTGGACTTCAGCTTCCACAATTAATAATAAAACTTATTTATATTCCACCTCATCTCCCTGGAGGGACTCAGGGTAGACTGGCTGAGATTTCTGGGGGTTGAAGTCCAAAACAACTGGAGGACCAAAGATTGGGAAACACTGAGTTAGATCAATGATATAACACAACCATCATATAACTAGGTGAGTGTAGATTTGCAGTATGGAAGCATCTCGGCAACTGCAAAATACATGGTTAGGCTCTCAGGCAGCCTATTTCCACTGAATCTCAGTTCGAAGGGAGAGATGTGTGCGTGTGTTTACTTGTCTGCTAATTGTTTCTTTCTTTCAGGGGACATACATTGCACCCAATATACGCTCTGTTCTTCTTGACGATGAGTACTGGGAAACTCCATACAAATTTAATCCCAACCATTTTTTGGACAAGGATGGAAATTTTGTCGCTAGAAAAGAATTTCTGGGATTTGGTACAGGTAAAAGTACTGGATGACCTCAAGCAGTTCACAGACTCTCAATATCAGAGGAATGCAACCCAATTCCTTCAACAAATCTTGCTCAAAAATCCCCAATATTGGTTAGCCTCAGGCTTACCGTATGTCCAATTGATTTGAAGACACATGACAACAAGAAATTAGGTTATGTATGGGCGAGTACAACAACAAAACTTTATTACGGCCACTGACCAGCACAAATCAGGGCACAAGCACTCTGGGAGGGGAAGGACAACTCCCCAGTAAAGCAGTTATTTAAAAGTAGATTAGAAAACAGTTTAAAATCACATTTTAAAACACAGGATATTGTAACAAGTATGGAACCGAAGGGGGGCGGTGCGGAGGGGAGAGATTGATAGGAGGGATCAAAAACACTGGGGGGGGGACACTAAAGGGGAAGGGAGGGGCACATTACGAGTCTAGTAGCATTTCAGCTGTTACATTTTGCTCTAACTATATTCTCAACAGGGTGTTGCCTTGTGGGGTCTATCATCATCCGTCTAATTTTAAGTGCAGCAGCACAGAACTTAGCAACACTGTAAGTTATTGTAGTGTTAGAGTCTGGAAGCAGCAAGTTGAAATAATATTTTCACTGCATTTTGGGTATTTTAGAAGCCATGGCCTAATGAGTTTAGATCTAAGATCTCTGTAGAACATGCAATGAAGAAGCACATGCTCCTTGGTTTCTACATGACCAGACTCACAGGGGCATAGTCTCTGCTTGAGGGGGTCAGGCTAGATCAGATTGGCGCTCTATGTCCAGGATCTGTTGCTTAATGAGATCCTTGACTTGATCCCATCTCATGTTTAACCATTGGTCTTGGGAGAAACCAATAGTTGCAATCTTTGCTGCCACTGTTTTAATCCTTGTGGACTGGAAGTCGTCTCTCATGGTTAGGGGAGAAGGATAGATGTAGCCAGTAATTGAGAATAATTGTCTATATTCTCAATTCCACTTTCACAAAGCCTGTCTCCAATCGCAGGGTGGCGTTAGAGACACATCTGGGGGCCTGTAGAGCTGCTCATAGAAACTTCGATTAGGCACAGTTTAGTTTGAGAAGGGTCCAAGCTGGACTCCATACAGAATTTGTGAGATTGGTTTTGCTTCAAAAAGTTTAAGTGCCGCCGGTTTAAAGTGACCTCTTCCCATCCTGAGATATCTTAAGATAGCGGATGACCTCTTTTGTGCTGTCTCTGCTGTATACTCTGTGTGAGTTTTCCTGCTGTTACTGCTATGGAGGGTTACTCCCAGGTATTTAAAACTTGAGACCTGCTCTATTTTGTTTCCATCTATTCTCCAGTTGTGCTTCTTGGGTCATTTAGCAAACACCATAATTTTAGTTTTCTGAAAGTTGAGATGCAGCTTTACTTTACTTACTTTACTTAGGTGATCCCTCATTGTCCAAGTAGGATTGTTTTCCAAGATCAGTGTACTGGTGGTGGGTGCGTAGGTGACTGTGGAGCCCTATTCTTGATTTGCATCTTCTCCCTCAGTGAGGGCTGTGAGGGCATTGGTTTCCAGGTGGAAGGTGGTCCCAGTTGGGGTTGGCTTGACGCGCCTTCCTGGCAGTAATTTGTTAATGCTCTCAGGACCCTTTTCAGTCCAATTTGAGTTCTAGAAAGAAGAACTGCATCATCAGCATAAAGCAGGATGGAATTCGCTCTATTATATGTTGGAAACCCTGTTCAAAACCATATTTTTTAATTAGTGATTTCAACACTACCCAACCCACCCAGTCCAATGCAATTAATGCCTACTTGAGCTTTCTCGTTTTTGGCACTCTCTGTAATGTTTATCAGTCTGTAGACCAAGTCAGTGGCAGAGTCTCCATCTCTTGAAGTTTTTAAACAGAAATTGGATAGCCATTTGTCAGGTATCCTTTGATTCTGTGACATGGGCTTACCCATTGGCTCCTCTTCCAACTGCATGATTTTACCATTGTATGATCAATCCTTATGCATTCATAGTCTATTTTTCAGCTTTCATCCTTATTTGCTCAATTGAATATATGCTCATCCCCTGCCTTTGTCTCCCCATGCAGGGCCTCGGTCATGCTTGGGGGAACCTGTGGCCAGGATGGAGCTATTTATCTGCTTGACCCGCCTGCTGAGGGTATTCAATTTCCAGCCTCCTCCAGGAATAAAGGAATTCACTGAAGAACCTGCAAAGAACTTATCAGCATCACCCCAACCCTTTAAAGTGTGTGCTATTCCTCGCAATAATTAATCATAAAACATTCAAGAATAATTACAATTACTTCTTAATCATTGCTGTATATTTAAAGCAAATCCCCCCTTCAATTAATTTGATGTTCCCAGACCTCTTCTCTATCTCTAGAACCTCTAACAAATCTGAGACATTGCTCAATGCTAAATTAATTTTATTTCATTCTGTTTGGTGTTATTGTACCTATTGCTCAAATGAAAGAATTCTTGCTATGGATATCCATAGGCAGAGGCGGCCCTAGGCAATTTTCAACAGTAAGCAAACAAAATTTTGCCCCCCCCCCCAATCACTGATATATATTTCTGTTCATCGTGGGAGTTCTGTGTGCCATATTTGGTTCAATTCCATCATTGGTGGAGTTCAGAATGCTCTTTGATTGTAGGTGAACTATACATCCCAGTAACTACACTTGCCGCACTTGCTCCCTTGCCTGGCCCGCTTTGGGTCCGGAGGCGTGCCTGAAGACCCCGGCGTGTGCACCAAAAGTCACCTCTTCTCCTGACTTTCTCCTCAGCCATTGGGACCAAGAGAGAGAGAGAGAGAGAGAGGTGGAGATGCCCACCTTTCCTGAAGGTAGGCGCAAAAACAAAGGAGGGAGCGGAGGTGGGAGATTCCTCCAGCCGGAGGGGCTCTCTCTCTCTCTCTCTTGGTCCTAATGGCTGAAGAGAAAATCAGGAGAAGAAGTGACTTTTGGTGCACACACTGGGGTCTTCAAACATGCCTCTGGACCCTAAGCGGGCCAGGTGCAGTGGCTCCGCCCTTTGGCCCACCCACGGATTGGGGAGAGGAGAGGAGGCAGGTGGAGCGCCGGGGGATCGGGAAAGGGAGCCGGTCATGGGGAAGGGATTGAACGCGGAGAACGATTGAGCGCCGGCTCTGCTCACGCACCCGGTGGCCGGGTGGAGCAGGAACGAGAGGGGCTAGGTGAGGCTCAAGGGCCCGGCCCCTTTGGGAAGAGGATCGCCCGGCAGCGAGGCAAGAAAGCCGAGGCTCCCCCCGGACTGCTAGGGCTGTTGTGAGCTGAGGGGGCGCTCCTCAAGTGGCAGTCGAGGGGCATTTACAGAGGTGCCTCTGCGCCCCTGGCAAAAAAAGTGTTCTGCGACCGCTTACTTCGCCTAATGGACGAGCCGCCCCTGGATATAGGGGAACTAACAGTGCAGTGAATTGAGGGTTGGACTAGTTCTCTGAAAGATCAAGTTTGAAATCCCCCTTTATCTGTGGAAATACACTGAGTGATGTCGCACAAGCCATGTTTTTTCAGCCTGGAGGCATAGACAGAAAAGGTCCTCTGTAGCAACGTTGCAAAATCCCAAGGCCCATGAAGAAACACAAAAGCCCACAGTACTGATTCAGTCAGTATCTTCTAGCTGCAACAAGATCTATGTCTAGATCACTGCATTTATCAGCACTTGATAATAACATTTCCATGGGTGGCGCATGAGGTTGGCTACCCATCAAAAGGGTAAAACTATGAATACAGCCAGGTCAGAGACTGAACCTAGGCACAAGAGGCTTGATTTCCAGATTCTTGTTCACCTTGGTCAATATTTTCTGCAAATGTTGTAGCTTGTCAATGTCCTTCTTCATCTGCGTGGTCCAGAAATAGACACATAATTCCTGGTGCAGTTTGACCAAAGCAGAAGATAGTGACACTAATTCCTCCCTTGATTTGAACACCATGACCTTATTGTTGTAACCCAGAATCTCATGAGTGCATCCTGACATGGAAGACACCAACATCAGCTAGGAGTAGATGGTTGTTTCATTTAGTTCACTTTATCTATTCCAAGGTGTATTTTGGAGAAACAAGTGGAGACTGAAATTTCCATTCCCTTGATGAGCTTGTTGGGGCTTTTATTCTCTATTACCCTACAAGAAGGGAGGGAGGGCAGAGGTGCACAGCATAGCATATACAACATCAGCCATGACAATTCATCTCCATCCTTATGATATAATAGATTCGTAAATTAATTGCTCTCACTAAACATGTTTCTATGTAACCTATTATGTCTCTTACAGCCCTAAAATGTAATTTTTTCCTGAATAAACAATTGGGGGGGGGGAGGGGGAGCAACAACAGTTTTCTCATTTTTACATTCTAATAGATAATGTCTGAAACTTGTGGGTTCGTTTGATGTTTTAGTAGAGGCAATATGGGAGAAAAAAGATTCCTGAAGAGATGAAAGGAAGACTGATTTTGGTTGGCCTAGCTCTATTAATGTCCCGCCGTCCTTACATCAGCGCTTTTCTTTTTATCCTTCATGACTCGTTTCCCAATCAAACCCCAATATTTCTGCTTAGAAGTCTAATGGAGAGTGTCAGGAGTTTAACTCCTGCCATGTTTTCTTAAGGCATATCATGTTGTGTATTTCTACATTCTTCAGTTCTTTTTATTGTGTACCTGGTTATATATTTACTTCAAAAGCTATGCATGCATATATATACTGGATGATGGGTGTTGTCATGCTTTGAAACATGCTGATATTACTTCCTTTAGCAGAGCCTTACTGGGAAAGCTCTCATTAGCTAAGGATGCTCATTGATGTTTAGGAGATTTATGAGGCAGTTGTGAGAATGTGCAGTATTTCAGAATTGTCCTCATGAGATAAAAGTACAGAGGAAGAAGTTGTTATAATAAAAAGACTAGTGGTGTGGAAATCTGAACAAGAGGTAATGAAGCTGCATGTCAACAAATGGGGTGTAAACAGGCCTATGTTTTTGAATTGTGCTGCCTATACATATATTGGATTTAATGTTTATAAGACCTGACAGATTTCCATAATATAGTCTGCCACATTACAAGGATTGAATGAAAAGTAATGCCTCCACCTTCGTGACTCCTCAACAGATGGCAGTACTGGTATGCAGAACATACTGGCTTGTTCAGTAGACTCTCCTCTACAGTTCCATTTAGCAGGAAGCCTTAGCATTGAACGGTTGTGTTGTTAAAGTGTGAAGTATGGAACCCTGCACAGACGGTTGGTAAATGAGACTTAAGCAACGTGCTGTCATTGAATTCTTGACAGCAGGTGTCATCCCAAAGGAGATTCATCAGAGAATGCAAACTGTTTATGGTGATTGTGTTGATGTGAGTACTGTGCGTTGTTGGGCGAGAAAGTTTAAAGATGTTGAGGTGGGAACGTCTGACTTGCGTAACAAACAAAGAGTTGGAGGTCCTGTGACAGCAACCACCGAGTTTCACAATCAACACGTTGACAGATTGATTCAGAATGATTGTAGTATCACTTAGAGAGAAATTTCAAGCATAATCGGCATTTCACAAAAACGTGTGTCGACTTCTTTCGTGACGGCTTCAGAAAACTTGTTAATTGTTGGCAGAAATATATCCAATTGTCTGGTGATGATTTGGAAAAGCGAATAGTGGTAGGTAAAGAGCACATTCTGAGAATTATTTCTGCGTTTGATTTTTTAAAATGTTCCCATCCAAACCCAAGTAACGAAGGTGGAGCTGCTATTGAGCTAGAATTTGGAGGCTCCTGCCCAGGAGAGAGGAGCCCTTAGACCCACCAAAGAGAGTCCGAAACCCTTGGCAAGTGAAAGAGGAGAAAGGCCCAGAAAGCCATCGAGGTTTATTTAGCGATTCAGCTGAAAAGGATGCAGAGCCGCCATCATTCGCCAGCAGAGCATGAGAAATTACATCCATACAGCCATTTTTATAGGAAATACAGAGTCGTAAGGTCCAAAATTCCCACCCCTGCCTCCCTGCTGCTCTTTGCTGTGATTGGCCGATGAGCCAACATCTGAGAGGCGGCCCTCCCACCTCCCGTGCCTCAGGGCCAATCAGGAAGCTTTAGCAATGTGTTGCAGCCAATCAGAGAGCTTCTGCTGCCTAGCGGCGGCAGCAAATCAGGAGAGAAGAAGGCGGGATGATGAAACACAATAGAATCTATGAATGAGTTGGAAAAAAAAGGAACTGCCAGGGGGCCTCACGAGACTCATAGTCTCAAGCAAGACCAACCTATTGTTTCTTGATTGGAATGTATCAACATAAACAAAGGAAAATCCGGATCTTTCCGAACAGTGGAGCATGAGGACAATTGGGCAAAACTAGGATGAGTGTTCCTTAGTGGGTAAATAATTGAATCAATCAAAATGGAGGTGGGGGCTTTCCAAAGGCACCCTGATCTCCAAATAGAAGAATGATTAAAGTTCTGCCAAGAGGCGACCCCACATGCTGGTCGAAACTCCGAGAGCAAGGGTGCCACCTTTGTTCTTGTCCATGCAAGAGATTTACAGATTAGGTTCTTTGTGAATGTTTTGGGCTTTGCAATTTCCTGGTGGGATTTTATCATAAGGAAAGGGAAGGAAAAAAGGTCAAGGGGAAATCCTCAGCCACAAGGAAAATCATGAAAATATATACCATAAGTCCATAGTCCATAATGGGAAGAGTTCATAAATGTGTGTGTCCTTGGAAGGGAATGAAAAAGGTCAAGGGAAAGTGTCATGATTCATACATTTGGTAGGCCACAGCCTAGAAGTCAGTAAGCCGCCCTCCATGTTCGTAAGGCAGCTCAGTGTAGCAGACATCTTAGGAGAGGCAGCTAAGCAGAGGGGAGAAGCTCAGCTATCTCCTGATTGGTTAAAACCTGATGGGAGAAGTTGGAGCGGAGAGAGTAAAAAAGGCGTCAGTTTTGACAGAGAGGAGGAGAAGGGTTTCTGACAGAGAAGAAGAAGGATTTCTGACAGGGAGAAGAGGGTCGATTTTCTTAGTGAGCTAAAAGTTTGCCTGTTAGAGAATAGTTTAAGGCAGGTGCTTCTACAGAGCTTGACTAGGAGAGTCAAAGAGCAGACCTGTGAACTTGGGTTGAGTTAGGACTCAAGTTGTTTTATTCTCTTAGGGACAGAGTAGTCTAGGGAAACATAGATACTCTGGGAGACAGCCAAGAGAGTCTTGTCAAAAGGACTCACTGCTACAAGGTATAGAGTGAGGGAAATAGCTCATGTTAAAGAAAGGAAACTCAGTTTAAAGAAACAATTTCTTGAGAAGATTGTGCTTCAGTAACAAAATATGCTTGTGTACCTCATAGAAGTCAGTTGTATGTTTCAAAGATCTTAATAAACTTATTCTCTAGTTCACTGTTTAAACTGCCTCAGCCTTGATTCATTATATAAGATTAGTTCCAGTAATTCTCAGCATCTTTACAAATCAGTCACTTGAAGGGAGCCAAAAAGGAAGAGCCAATGTATTAGGAAGATTTACCTCCAGTATAACATCAAGCCAATTTCTCAAATTGAGTTTTGCGTGA